GGTTGCCATAACAGCCGATAGTCGCACTCTGCTCGTATTAATCGACCGTGGCATCAGAATAAATGCCGAATATTATCGCGAAAATATTCTGGAGGTTTTATTAAAGCCTTGGGCATGCAAACATTTTGAACCTTGGACTTCCAACAGGACTCAGCAAAATCGCATTCAGCATGCGCCACTCGAGAATGGTTACAAAATGAGGTTTCTCCCTTAATGGCCACTAAAATCTCCGAATACCAATCCGTTAGACTCTTGTGTCTGGAGTTTTTTTTTTTTTTTCTTTGAAAGCAAGGTTGGCGCTAAAAATACCAAAGTGTCGATCGCCTCTAGCAAGCGCTTCGCTGGGAATGGCCCAAATTACCGCAGAGCAACATTCGGGCAGCGTGTGACGGTTTCATTGTCGGTTTGAAGGCCATAATTCATGCCAAAGGTGACCAATTCGAATAAATTTAAACTTTTTCTAAAATTTGACGCTATTTCCGATATTTTTTTGTTTTCAGTCAATAAAATTTGAAAAAAATGTAAAAATTATGGCGTTTGACTTTGCAGATTTTTTTTATCTCACGCTGTATTGATATTTATGTTCATTCAATTTTATTCCCTTTTCAGGCGTTCCCGGTCTTAAAACACTCGGTTCACTGGACCCGCTGCACATCAAGCGTGCCAAATTTAGCCAAGGTGGTAAAAACGACATTATTTCCATTGACATGGACTTGGCTAATGCGGAAGTGATGGGTTTAAGCGATGTTATTGTCGAAGACATTGGGTAAGTCGAAAATTGGAAAGATTTAAAAAGAGATAATTTGTTTCCCTTCAAATCCAACGCAGATCCAATGGCAACAATTTGGACATAAAATTCAAACTGACGGCCCCTAATTTCAAATGGAATGGTGATTATGCCATGAAAGGCAACATTTTAAGCTTGGCTATGAACAGCAAGGGCAAAACGTTTATGACATTTGGTAAGTGGACATATCTCAAATTTGGCTACAATTTTTACTTGGCCAAAACTATAAGACATTTGATATCGATGTTCATAGATCTCTGATCTCTCCTTCTTATCTTTTAGAAAAGCCCACCTTCACCCTGAACTACAAGATGAAATTACGTAAAGAAGGTGATTATGAATTTGCCGATTTGGAAAAACTACATCTGGTGTGGGAAGATAATGCCAACGTGCAATTCCGCTTGGAAAACCTCTTCAATGGCGATAAAGCTTTGGAGGATAGTGCTCATACTTTGTTAAATGCAAATTGGCGACCAATCTTTGAGAATCTACGACCGGTGCTGAGTCAAACGAATGAAATTGTTTTAAAAGATATTCTCAACAAGATAATGGCCTATGTGCCGGCAAACTATTTTTTCGAGGAATAATTTTTTTTTTAAATAATAAAAAGAAAGAAATACGTAAGGATCTTTTCTATATCTGGGGAGATTCCAAGGGCCTTCTGTAGATGGAGAAGCGGATTACAGAAAAAACGTGAGGTGCACCATATAACGTCATAGTTAGAAGATTTTCAATTGACAAGTTTCGGATAGAAAAATGAGTCGATGATTTTCTGGAAGCCAACTATTGAGAGATGATATTCAACTGGCCTTTTATGTAGCCCTTGGAGAGGTTATCTGTCAATTCGAGACATTTTGTGGACCTTTTTAGATAGAGTTATGAAAAGTACTAACTACAAGTATGAACAGTACTGTGTATTAGAAAAGTGGAATGAGCTGAGATTTGGAAAGAGTCACGGATGGAGATGTACTTATGAGTTTTTGGAAATTCGAAATTTTCGAAAAGTTCTAAAATGTTACTAAACTTCTAAAATGGTACTATTTGGTATTATGTGAACGGATAAAGCTAGGAAATTTGGTATGAGAATCAAGGTTCGAAAATAAGTTTGATATATGAAGGTGGTTTTAGAAATGTGTACTTAGTGTGCGAACTGTACTAAATGGTACTAAATATGGAACAGTTTTGTGTTGAACAAATGAAGCTGGAATTTTGAAATTTTGTATTAGGGTCCCTGCTGGTGGTAGGTTTGTGATAAAGAGGTGGTTTTCGAAATGTGTACCACAAGTGCACAAAAAGTACTGAATTGTACTATAATGGGTACAATTTGCTTGAAAGTGCTTGAAATCTGAAATTTTTTGTAGTCTGGACATATGGAGATGGATTCGAAAGTGTGTACTGTAATTGTACGAAAATTACTAAATTGTACTAAATTTGGTATTGGCTGAAGGGGCAGAGCTGAAATCCTGAAATTTGCTATGGATGTCACTATCGGAAATTGAGATATGAAGGTTGTTCTGGAAATGGGTACAATAAATGTACAAAAAGTACTAAATTTGGTACAATATGGTACTGGATGAACAGATAGTGCTTCAAATCTAAAATTTGGTATTAGGGTTGGTGTAATCTGAACATATGGAGATGGTTTCGGAAATGTGTACTATTATTGTACAAAAAGTACCAGATGGTACTAAATTTGGTATTGGGTGAAGGGATAGAAATAAAACTCTGAAATTTAATGTTTTAATTACTGATGGTATCTCTGTTTGAAATTTGGCAGTGGTGTGGAAATGTGTTCTACATTTTTTACAAAAAGTACCAAATGGTACTAAATTTTGTATTCGGTGAAGGGATGTGGCTAGAATCCTCAAATTTGATAATGAGTACCCTGTTGGTATCTGAAATTGATATATAGAGGTTGCTCTGGAAATATGTACAATAAATGTACGAGCAGTACTAAATAGTACTATATTTGGTACAATTTGCTATTGGGTGAACAGATAGTGCTTGAAATCTATAATTTGGTATTAGTGTCGCTGTTCATGCCTAGCCTGGACGTATGGAGGTGGTTTCGGAAGTGTGTAATTGTACGAAAATTACTAAATGGTACTAAATCTGGTATTGGGTGTAGCGACATAGCAGAAATCCTGAAATTTGATATGGATGTCACTGTTGGTGTATCGGAAATTGAGATGTGGAGGTTGTTCTGGTACAATTTGGTACTGGATGAACAGATAGTGCTTCAAATCTAAAATTTGCTATTAGGGTCGGTGTTCATGTGTAGTCTGGACATATGGAGATGGTTTCGGAAATATGTACTATTATTGTACGAAAAGTACTGATTGGTACTAAATTTGGTATTGGGTGAAGGAATAGAAATAAAATTCTGAAATTTAATGTTTTAATTGCTGATGGTATCTCTGTTTGAGATTTTTACGAAAAGTACCAAATGGTGGTACGAAAAGTACTAAATGGAACTAAATTTGGTATTTGGTGAAAGGTCAAAGCTGAAATCATGAAATTTGTTATAGATGCCACTGTTGATGTCTGTGGTTAAGATATGAAGGTTATTTTAGAAAAGTGTTCTAAAATTGTACGAAAATTACTAAGAAGTACTAAATTTTGTTTAGGGTGAAGGGAGAGAGCTGAAATCCTGGATTTTGATATGGATGTCAATGCTGGTGTCTGTGGTAGATAGAAAGAGCTGGTATGAACGAACGATTTTGAGATAGAATTCTGAAATTTTGAAATTTTTTTTAAGCATTTTGGTGAGAAATTTCTAGAAAAAAATTATTCGTGATGGAATTCAAGCGTGATAGTGTGATTTCTTTATATTTGGCCGGAAAACGACAAGTGGCAATCGTTAGAGCACTCCAGCGTTTAAATGTGTTTCGTACCATCGCTCGTTACCGTGATACTGGTAGCATAGCCCGACATCAAGGAAGTGGACGGAAGAAAACACCAACATCAGCAGAAATGGTTCGAAAAGTAAAGAAGCGACTTGATCGAAACCCGCGTCGCAGTGGCTGAAAAATGGCTCGTGAGCTGAACATATCGCAATATTCCATTCGGCAAATTGAAGATTGAAAAATGAGCTCGGGTTAAAGCCATTTAAATTCCAAAAAATGCAAGAACTTACACCTCAACAGGAAGAAAATAGATTCAAAAGAGCTAAAGAGTTGCTTCGCTTGGCCGAAAATGCTGAACTGCCGAATTTGGTTTTCTCCGCTCCGTTGAGAAAACATTCGTTGTCCAACAGTTTGCAAACAAACAAAATTATCGTGTTTATTTGGCAAAGAGGTCAGCTGAAAATGTGCACCTTCGGTTGGCCACCAGAACTTAAGCGCCGGTCATGGTGATAGTGTGGACCGCCATAACAGCCGATTCTCGGTCTCCGCGCGTATTAAATGCCGAATATTATCGCGAAAATATTCTGGAGGGTGTATTAAAGCCTTGGCCACGCAAACATTTTGGCCGCAGACCTTGGACATTCCAACAACTGAGTCCACGCGCCACCCAAAAATGGTTGCAAAATTAGGTTCCTCGCTTCATTTCCAGCGCACAATGGCCACCAAAATCTCCGGATACCAATCCGTTGGACTATTGTGTCTGGAGTATTTTGGAAAGCAAGGTTGGCACTAAAAAATACCAAAGTGTCGATCACCTCAAGCAAGCGCTTTGCCAGGAATGGGCCAAAATACTGCAGATTAACATTCAAGCAGTGCATGACAGTTTCATTGGCCGTTTGAAGACCATAATTCGTGACAAAGGTGACCAATTCGAACAAATCTAAACTTATTCTAAAATTTGATGCTATTTCCGACATTTTTTGCTTTCAATCAATAAAATTTTAAAAAAAATGTAAAAATTATGGCGTTTGGCTTTGTTTCAGTTTTTTTATCTCACCCTGTATTATTAATATTATAATTAATATTGTTACTACAATTACTGTTATGAAATTCCCATTGATATAATCGAGTAACCGGTTCAGCAGCCCCTTCAATAGATCATTTTAATTACCATATTGGTTTAACCTATAGCCTCAGTTTGGCCTAAAAGAGAACAACAATACAAAACACACACACACACACTTGTATTATTAATTGTCACTGCCTGCCTCTCTTTGGCCTGCAGAGGCAAAACAAAACAAGTTTCCGTTTCAAACCAATTATAAAATTATAACAAAATGCATATTTATTGGTCTTTCAAATCAGTTGCACAATATTAGCGAATAAAATCGGAACGGTTTTTTTAACTTTCGGTTTCTTTTTTGAAAAAGATGAAATATTGTATTTTGCTTACACTGTTGTTGTGGACAACTTCGGCGGTGGTGTTGGTGGTGGGGAAAAAAGTCTTAACCGAAAAACGTAAATGGAAATAAATTATATAGAAAAATTACAACAAATAATACACAATTCTGTATTGCAGCTGCATTTCTCATTGCCTGTCCCATTGAGGCCACTGATGTGGGCTCTTGCTTTGCCAAAAATCTTGAAGCAATGTTTCACGAATGGAAGGCCGGTAAGTTTTAAAACAAATAAAAAACGGTCAAAAAAATGAGGTCAAATATGAGAGGGGCCAAATATTTTATACCCTACAGCTTGCTGGATGTGTTATAACTGTATTTACCTAAGAGAATATCAAATTGCGTTCCATGTTTATTGAATTGGAATCTGGATGAACAAATGTATCTATCTGAGATACATAAATCTAAATTTGATTAAATTTTTTCAGAATTACTGTAGAGATTACGTCAAACGTTTTAAATAAACAATATAGCGTAGATTCAATATAAATTAGGTTTGATTGAGTATTGCTAATAATAGAGGTGTACTATAACGCTCTACAACACAATTCAATTTTTCAATAATTACAGGAAAAGTCCATTAGATTGTGAAAGTAGAGCTATGAATAGAAGACATGTATATCGGCGTTTACATTAAAGTAGAGCACAATTTTACCCTCTCCAATTTTTATACCCTCCACCATAGTATGGAGGGTATATAATGTTTGTAATTCCGTTTGTAACACCCCGCAATATGCATTTTAGACCCCACAAAGTATATATATTCTCGATCAGCATAAAATTCTCGATTAAGCGATATCCGTCCGTCTGTCGGTCTGTGGAAATAACTCTAGCATCCGAACGAAATGAAATAGGTTGATAAAATTTTACTCAAATGTATATTATGTCTGCAAGACTTTTGGTATAGAAAATGGGCCATTTAAGTCCAGGTTTTGGTGTAATCCCCATATAATGGTACCTCCCTATTTTCTGTATTATGGGGATTTAAGCGACATTATTCAACGGAAATGTTTCAAATTTGGTATTAGAAGTTCGTAATGGATACTACAGCAAAGACCTAAAATGGTAAAGGCTAGACAAAATGCATTTTGAGCAAATGGTTTGTGTCTATACTATCCAGAATAACAGCTCATGGCAGGACCATTTTAATGTAAAAAACACATTTATAGAAAAAAATGACAAATAAAATTTTGAAAAATACAAAGTTGGGTTTCAAAATTATATTTCATAGACTTTCCTAATTAATTGCACATTGCCTAAGCGATTTAAATCGCTTAACATTGCTAACTATGTTGTTATGATATCATAACAACAGACGTATTTTCACAGGGTTGCCATATCTTGACTCTGTTTTGTCCCATCTTTACACTTCTATGTCTTTGACTACAGCCTATGACAGAATATTGTTTGTGTAGGTCTACGTCTTCGTATAGCCCCCATACAACGATACCCCCCGATATTTTCGCGACATTATTCACCGGAATTGTTTCACATTTGGTATTTGAAGTTCGATAGCACAGCCTATGACAGAAAATTGTCTGTGCAGGTCCACGTTTTAGTATAGCCCCCATATAATGGTACCTCCCTATATTCGGTACTTTGATGATTTTAGCGACATTATTCACCAGAAATGTTTCAAATTTGGTATTTGAAGTTCGTAATGGATACTACAGCCTTTGACAGAATATTGTCTGTGCAGGTCCACGTTTTGGTATAGCCCCCATATAATGGTACGTCCCTATATTCGGTATTTTGATGATTTAAGCTACATTATTCACCAACTTATTGTAATGGCTTATGACAAAAGTTGCCTATGCCGGTTCACGACGTCGTATAGATCCTAACATAATGGCTACATTCTAAATATTTAAGATTTTAACAGAATTTTTAAGGGATTTTTTTTTTTTTTTTTGAAAATTGCCAAATTCTTTCCAAATGGTGGAGGGTATTCAGAGATCGGCCCCGCCGAACTTTCAGCCTTTACTTGTTTTTTTTTTTTGTGTTTATTTTTTTAAATTTCGGTTAGTTATTTTTTTCTTTGAATGCTTGCATTTTAGGTATATTGTATCATTGGTAACAATGCGAGGATTTTTTCCTAAATATTGTTAATTAAATATATATTTAAACGGTATCGTAGCAATTCAAACTTTTCTACAAAATTATTTGTTATAAAATTCCACTATAGGACCTAGAAGACGCCAAAAGTTTAAATCTTACCTAAACGCCAGTGTTTCATATATATCAGAGGCATACTTAAGGCTTAAGCCGTACTTTATGTGAGTTTGTGCAAAAATCTCCAAAAAAGCTTAATTTGAGAAGGATGACATCAAAGACAAAAATATTCTTCATCAAATTTCACTATGAGTTTGTGGAGAAAAGAAATATGTATTTACCCTGCATATCAAAATAAAAAATTGCATCAATATTTCCCAATCATTTTGATCAATTTTTCTTTTAAGTAATTTAAGTAATCAGTAATTTTAATCAGTTATAAAATTATGGAAGTAAAAAAAAAATTAACTCGACCGGGCCAAACTTTCATTACCATCCAACATTAGGTAAAATTTTTTGAAATAAAAGTGTCTGGATTCAAACTTGTTCTACTTTACTCTGCAAATACCAGTGAGATCGGTTGAAGATTTTAGTAATAGATAATGTTGTGACACCGGTTGAAGAACCCAATATGAACTACAAATAACGAATTTGAAACAAATACAATAGAAAAAGTGACTTAAATAGTAAAAATACCGAATATTCGTACCGTACCGTATATGGTGTTATAGTAAAAGCTGGACCCATAGAGAAAATGTTCTGGCACCGGAGTATGGACCTGTTACAAACTCTCAATACCAAATTTCGAACAATACCGAGGAAAAAAATCATCAAAATACAGAATATCGGAAGGTACCGATACCAACCATTTTAGGTACAATACAAACTATTCAAATCTCAACAACGGGTTTCGTGAATATATAAAATGTTCGGAGTCTAAGACGAATATTAAGAAGTTTTACAAACGGAATCACCACTTTAATATGCCCTCCTTTCGTAGGTGGATGGTAAAAAAAATATAAAATTGCCCCCTCTACACCTAAATGTAAAGATTGAAAAAAAACTTAAACCGAAATTTTCAAAAATTATTTTCCTACAGTTTTTGGCACTGGTGTGCTGTTGATAGCAATTCGTTTGTTTTTGGGAAAATCTATAGCGAGGATTATTTAAATTCGAATTCTCACGATGGCTTGTCTTTCTTCTCTTCAGTCTTATCCCACCTGATTGCTTCCCCAACTCAACATATTCTTCAGTTTCAACCAAATATAAATGCTGACTCTTTGTGTGTCCTTTTAACAAATCTACATTATTTTCTTTACTTTCCCTGCCCCAACTCTATTTGTAGTTTTGTGAATATGGCAGATAAAATCAATATATATTCACTTACTTGACTTGTTTTTTGGCTGCCGCAGATAGTGAAACTGAATACTGAACACCCACCGAGTATATTTATATTCACTGTGATGGTCGGTCTCGTTGCAATAGGATAACTTCCAGGAAAGTGGTTTAATGGCTTGACTCAAGCAAATCTTGAAATCATATTTGGGATTTCTAAAAAATCAAATATTCCAAAATTAATATACCATAACAAGAATGTTATTTTTTCCCTTGTTCTCACTCATTTGTTGTTTTTCTGTCTGATGAAATTACTTTTTGTGGCCGAAGTTGCGGAGTTCAATCAATTTCACCAATCTCTTTCACTGAGCCATTTAGACTTAAGGTGACCTATGGGAGTACCGAAAAACAGCATACTTCTTACTTCAGTTCTCATTTCCCATAAAGATACACGACCAAACAATGTCTTTCCAATCAAAATTTATAACATTCTTCTGGGCCATTCATCCTTTAAGCAATCAAATATTGCATTGGAAAATGTTTTTCTTAATAAACATAATCTCCTCCATTTTTTCAGAATTAGCTAATTATAAAGTGAATTAGATCTCACAAACTCATTGAGGCCAATGGGATCAATTTTTTCTATAGGCATTTTAATCATTCCTTCTACTTTCCTACATTGTTGAAAGTATTTTCAATTAAATTCTCATCACTAAAATAAATTGCCTTTTAAAAAGAGGTGTTCCAAAAAAACATCTGCAATTTATCTGCTTCAAATTTTTAAATAGGGAAGACTCAACTTGTATTCAAAACATCAAATAATATCTTTGAAATACCATGAATGCTGAGAATCGTCATCACACAGCTTTTGTCGTTGCCTGTCAAGGCTGGAAACATTGGCACTCGAACATTTAAAACGATAATCAGATATTCAGTTTTGGAGATGCGAGAACTAATTAAATCATTAAATTCTTTGCAGAAGCCGTCAACAATAAATGTTATGGTTTTCGAGTTATTTTTATGTTTTTGTTGGTGAATCCTCGTAGGGTCAATCATATCGATCTACTGTAATAGGTAGGAGTCATCAGCACATAAATATTCTTGTTAAGGAGGAATTCAATGTGGTCTCCTTCCAATATTGCCTCTGACAGAAAATCACCCGAGCGATAAACAGCTTTTTTAAACGATAATGTCGGAAATTGCATCAAATTTTAGAATAAGTTTAGATTTGTTCGAATTGGTCACCTTTGGCACGAATTATGGCCTTAAAACGGCCAATGAATCCGTCACACGCTGTCCGAATGTTGCTCTGCGGTATTTTGGCCCATTCCCGACGAAGCGTTTGCTTAAGGTGATCGACACTTTGGTATTTTTTAGTGCCAACCTTGCTTTTTAAAATATTCCATCGTCCATCGGATTGGTATCCGGAGATTTTGGTGGCTATTGTGCGCTGGAAATGAAGCGGGGAACCTCATTTTGTAACCATTCTTGGGTGGCGCATGCTGAATGCGATGGAGTCTATTTTCTTTCTGTTGCGGTGTAAGTTCTTGCACTTTTTGGAATTTCAATGGTCCTCCCCCGAGCTAATTTTTAAATATTTTTCAAATGGAATGTTGTGATATGTTCAGATCACTGGCCATTTTTCGGCCACTGCAACGCAGGTTTCGATCAAGTCGCTTTTTTACTTTTCGAACCATTTCTGCTGATGTTTCTGTTTTCTTCCGTCCACTTCCTTGACGTCGGGCTTCGCTACCAGTATCACGGTAACGAGCGATGGTATGAGACACAAAAAATTTATTCATATTTAAATACTGAAGTGCTCCAACTATAGCCACTTATATTTTTTCAGCCAAATATAAAGAAATCACACTATCACGCTTGAACTCCATCACGAATAACTTTTTTTCTGGAAAATTCTCACCAAAATGCCTTTGTACGCTTGTAAGCGATATAATGAGATGCCTCTGGAATAATTTTAACAGCTGTCGAACGAGTGGCTTAGAAATGACAGCATTGTGAAGTTGGTTGCCGTTCTTTCATCTCACCCTGTGTATCCAACAATACGTAAAAGTTATAGTCCAATAGTTTTCGAGACTGGTGAGGGATCTCGAAATATTTGCCCAGGCCAATAATCGGTTTATCTGGCTTCATTTATAAATATTTTCACCTGTGTCAAAAATCTCTTATTAAATTAGCTATCATTTATGTTCGTCATTATACCACTTACCGTATTTTCTTCAAGGTGTTCCCGGCTTAAAATCCATTGGCTCCCTCGATCCGTTGCATGTCAAACGCATTTCCATTGAGCAGGCTGTTAGTGGACCCATTTCATTGAATCTGAATATGCAAAATGCTGAAATATTTGGACTTTCTGGAACATCGATTACGGATGTTGGGTAAGTATAGGATAAAAAAGAGCTAAAAAATATAGAAAAATTAAAATGTATTAATTTTTAGTACCGATGCCAAAAAACTTACCTTCAAATTTAACATTAATGTACCCGAATTTAAGTTGATCAGTGATTATGCGGTCAATGGAAATCTGCTGAGTTTGGCATTGAATAGCAAAGGCAAAGCTGAAATAATGATGGGTAAATTAGTGATTGTTATGTGCAAAAAATGTATATATAAATTCCATTTTTCTTTTTTTTTTCCTTAGAAAAAGCCCTTCTAAATTTGGCCATACGTGTGAAAATTCGTGAAAATGGCGATTTCAAATTCGGCCAATTGGAAAAACTCCATTTGGTCTGGGAAGATGTGGGTGGCATGCATTTACATTTGGATAATATTTTCAATGGTGATGCAACGCTGGAGGATAGTGCCCATGCTTTGATAAATGAAAATTGGCGTTCCATCTTCGAAGTATTGCGCCCGGCCCTGACACAAACCGTTGAGGTTATTATGAAAGATTTCTTGGGTAAAATTTTGAGTCATATACCGGTGACATATTTATTGGATGGATTGTAAATAAAAAAAGGAGATATCCAAACCAAAAAAGAAATTAAATTTTGAATACTGAAATTTTTTTGAATTTTCGGATGGAATCCTTAATTTTTAGGTAGGTGTTCAGTGTCTTTGGCAATATTACTGATGACAATACGAGAACTATTTTGTTCGAACATTTGAAAAATGGTTAAAAACTCCATTAAATGGGATCCTTGGAAGTCAAAATATTCAAAAAAAAGTTTTGGCATAAAACTCTACTATGAGTCACAGATTACATGAAATCTATATCAACAAGTATCAATCGGTTTTGCCGACAGACGTATACCCCCAGGCTTGAGCAGTTGGACATTGACTATTCGTTGGATATTGACCTATTCGTATCTGACCTAAGACTGATAAAATATTACAACGTGCAGGGATATGTCCAAACTTTTGGAAAACGCGCAAGTATGCGTGAGGTTACCATTTTGTGACCCTTTGTGGGTGAGGTACAAGAAAGGGTTGACAGATATATTCACAATAGATTTTGCGTTAACAAAAATATTTAGTTGTGTGAAATTTGAAGATAGTTGGATGTTTATTTCGCTTTCTTTGAGCGTTTTGTTTTTCAAAAATCTTGAACCCCTTGTGGGGGAGATAACAGAAGAAGATGTATCAAGTCTGAATGGAATCGCGTTTTATGAGCTTTAGGATACTCACAATGTTGACCCTTTGTGGGGCGGTATCAGGAGGAGTGAACTATCTAGTAAGTTTCGTCGAAGGTAGCACTCAGCACGGCCTTTGGGCCTAATAATATAAATAAAATATAAAGTTTTCTTCATTTTTTTCTCACAATAAATTGTCACTTACCTTACAAATCCTATTGGAATTACACTTTTGATTTTCGAAATAGAATGCTGTTACAGAATGGGGGCTCTTTCCCAAAGAACAACATAAAACAATAAAGTCCGCAGCCACACAGGGCAGTGTTCCTTCTTTGAAGTAAGACCCTGACACAAACCTGCAAAAATATGGTGCAGCTATTAAGAAAGTGCTTCTCGTCCAAGGCTGCACACAGCGCGGCCCTCGAACAACGGCCTGGGAATACAAAAAAACAGTTTCTTTCTATCTTTCACACAATATTCTTACTTACCTTTCAGTCCTATTTGATCACCATTTTTGAATGTCTGAATACTGTTAATGGCGGCTCTTACTTAGTCAAACACCAATGTAACAACGGCCTTGGAATACAATAGACAAAGGTTCCCTTCTTTACTTTTCACACAATAAATTCTCACATATCTTACATTCACATTGGAATTCTTCTTTTAAACATCTAAATAGAATGCTGTTACAGAATGGCGGCAATCACTCAAAGAACTCAACGTCAAATAGCAATCGGCCGTTAAAAATCAAACCAACGGCGGCAAAAATCACAAAGCCAACAGCTGTCATGGACTCACACTCTCTCCTCCGTTTTGCTGATGCCATTCACTCTCTCTCTCTCTTACACACTTGCATCGACAAATCGAAATAATCGATTAGTCGCAACGATAAGTCCAAAGTCGACGTAGGCATCCCATCTCTTTACAGTTTTACAAAGTTTACAGCTGTTGTAGACGCCAAGCGCGATTTTTTATGCAAAAGCAACATAAAACAAAGTAAATATCATTAAAATTGTAGTAAATATATTGGAAAATTATCTTTGTGTGTTTGTATTGTCAAAGGGCGATGGAGAAAAATATTTTTATGCACGGAAAAAGTTCAATTTAAAGAAAGAATTCTCTGTGTAATGTGATGTGAAAATGAAATGCAATAAAATGTAGAGATGAGCTGTGTAAAACATAATGCAGAAACGAGAAAAAAATATCTACATACATAAATGTACCTAGCAAAAGAAAATAAAACAACGCCAAATAAAAGAAAATCAATTGTGAAAATTTACATAAAATCATGAAAAAGAGGAGTCGAATTGTTTTCAATGTGAAATAAATGCAAAAAATAAAATGTAATACCGTGAATGTGTTTTGCAAACAGCCAGGCAATAAAAGAAAATCGCAAAGCGAAAAGCCAAAGAAATTATTTCTGCAAATTCCCATCCATTTTTCTTTGCAGCAGCGCCATTTATTTTTGTGTTTGTTTTTTTTTTACATTTTGCGGCAAGTTTCTGCTTTGCGATAAATGGTGGCTTGTTTGGATTTCGTGTCAAGCCGGAGTTTGATGTGAAAAATCTAGAAATTCGTAAAATGTGAAACATAAAACTTACCCCAGCGAGTTTTGGTTAATTTTTTATTTCATTCTTTCTTAACTCCATTATTCTTAAAAAATACAATGTTCATTTCAATGTGTGTGTCGTGTGTGCTAGCTTTTCCAAATTTGTCCATTGTGAATTGCGTCTTACATTATTTTGGTGATCGCTACCCCCACCACTCCAACAAAATCTCTTCACTTTAAGTTTATGTTTAGAAACGATCTTGTTTGTGTTGCGCTTTAGACAACAACATCAGCGCAGCAACAACAACAACACAAGATCCAAGTCAAACACCATTGACATGTTATACCAGTTTTTCTTTTTTTGTTCTACTTTTAACTTTGTGTTGAAAACAACAAACACCATTTGCCTAGGGGAGGAGGAGAAGAAGAAGCAATGTTTGGTGTTTTTATGATTTACTTTTTGCATTGCACTCGTCGACCTCTCTCTCTGTCCATGATAATTCTAATTTGATTTTTTTATAAATGACCCCCTCTGAGAGTTGTGTGTTTCTTGTTTTATTTCATTTGTTTACCGTTATGGTTTGTTGTTGGTAAATTGTCTCTCAATTTTATGTGCAGCCGCAATGTACTGTGCAGTGTGGCCAATGTTTCGTAACGAAAAATCGCTTTTTTTGAAAACCTAACAAAATCGGTTTATAGGGTAAGGAAATAATGGTAGAAGCTAAAGGATTTAAAATAACAGAGTTGTTGAACAACCATATGGAAATTTGCCGGTAGAAAGTAAGACAAATGACGCCAGAGAAATGCGAATGGAAATTAAGACGAACAAGGCCAAAAATGCCCGTCCAAGGAATATTTTTAATTTACCACCCTTGAATTCCTTAAATAAGAAGTTCCTTTGCTACAAGAGTAGATTCTATTTAGAAAATTGCCTTTTTTATGTTGAGTTTAGGGGCTATGCTCGGATTGGTTTTTTTATCACAGGTAAGTATTTTTGACCTTGAAACTATGAACGCAAAATCCATTTTTTTTTCTGTTCTATTAAACCGATTTTATAACATGGGTAGCATTACGAAGCTTATGGCAATACCTATCCAATAATTCAACGTTTATTTTTAGGCGGCTCAGGTTTAATTCAAGAGAGTTGGTAGTTTTGTGTCATAACTTTTTGAAAAACCCGCAAAACTTCGATTATGGGGTACTAACATCCGTGCACCACATTATCCAGGGTGAGAAAAAACTGCAACAGAGCGAAACGCCATAACTTTTACATTTTTTTTAATTTTATTGAATGCAAGCAAAAAATGTTGCAATTAGTATCAACTTTTAGAATAATTTTCGATTTATTCTAATTGGTCGCCGTTGGTTATGGTCTCCAAACAGCCAATGAAACTGACATGCACTGCTTGAATGTTGATCTGCAGTATTTTAGCCCATTCCTGGCGAAGCGCTTGCTTGAGGTGATCGACACTTTGGTATTTTTTAGTGCCAACCTTGCTTTCCAAAATACACCAGACACAATAGTCCAACGGATTGGTATCCGGAGATTTTGGTGGCCATTGTGCGTTGGAAATGAAGCGAGAAACCTCATTTTGCAACCATTCTTGGGTGGCGCGTGCTGAGTGCGATGGTGTAAAGTCCAGTTGGAATGCCCAAGGTCTGCGATGAAAATGTTCGAGTTCCCAAAGTTTAAATACATCCTCCAGAATATTTTCGCGACAATATTCGGCATTTATTTTGATGCCACGGTCGATTACTACGAGCGGAGAGCGACCATCGGCTGTTGTGGCGGCCCACACCATCACCATGACCGGCGCTTGATTTCTGGTGGCCAACCCAAGTTGCACATTTTCAGCTGGCCTCTTTGGCAAGTAAACACCATCATCTTGTTTGTTTACAAACTGCTGGACAACGAATGTTTTCTCATCGGAGTGGAGAAAACCAAATTAGGTAGTTCACCACTTTCGGCCAAGCGAAGCTACTCTTTAGCATTTTTGAGTCTATTTTCTTTATTGCGGTGTAGGTTCTTTTGGAATTTCAATGGCTTGGAGTAAGCTCATATTTTTAATATTTATCGAATTTTGCGATATTTTCAACTCACGAGCCATTTTCTGTCCACTTTTTGAGTGGGAGCAAAATTCGTACAAAAAATATTCCTACCGGAATTTTTGTAATGACACCCAATTTAAAGCTGAAATTCTTATCACACACAATATTTTTCTTAACTTGATTCGGCGGGGGCTTAAGATTTTCTCTTCTTCGTATGTCCCACAACGATTTTTGAACCAAAGTTTTTGATTATTTGCATGCAACCGGCCTTCCAAAAGTTAGGAAGTAGAATTCTGTTAGTAACATTTATTTGAGAAAAGATGATTTATTCTATTAATATTTTCATTTCGTTCGTCTGTTCGTTTCAATTTTTATTTAAATCGAATCCCAAAAGAAAGTTATTAAAAATAACGATAACCCAAATAAAAAACGCCAAACTGGCAACATTGAACGACAATGTTCTCTCACACTCTCTCTCTCTCTCATTTGCAATGTTTTGTTTTGATTTTGTTGATAACTCCTTCGTATTATGTTCCTGCCTGTTTTTTTTACTTTTTTGCATTTTCTTTTTATCCCCCTTTTATGGTTTATTATTGTTTTGTTGTACCTTTTTGGCAAAGGCTATGCACGTACACACAATGTATTTACGTGTGTATGTACATTGCCATGAAAATGCACACACATCGCCAAAATATATACACAGAAGAAAATGGCAAACATGGCTGGCGTCTCGTCGTTGGTTTGCAGCTGTTGTGTTGTTATGGTTTGGTTTGTGTGTTTTTTATTTTTTTGGTTTGTTGTTCTTTTATGTTGTCTGTCGACCTCTCCCTCGCAATCTCCTTGTTATCTTTATGTGTATTGTTGGTGCTATGTACATATTGCATTTACCTTGCACAATGCCTACATTCTATGTGTACCTGTAGGATTTATTGAATAAAGTAGTAGCAGCGACGGTGCTGGCTGCGGTGATCATCATCATCGGCGGGCAATAAGTATCGAATTGTCTTGTTCTGGCTGACAGACAAACAATTATCCGTGTAGCAAGTCAATGGTGTTTAAGAAATTCTAAAGAACACTACCTAACTTGTTCGATCAGAAATATGTATAAGTGAAGAAAACAATACATAGTCAGCTATATAAAGGATATGCACTGAAGGATGTGTACCTCGGTGTACAAAGTATCAAAAAGAGGAGATGGAAAACATAAACAACAGCTGTCGTTTGGACGAGAAAAAATGTTGCGTGTTATAAGATATCACCTGACGTTCCAGTTTAACCATTGTGTGTGTTGTTTGTAAGGTTTTGCAAGTTGTGACCATCGCATAGAACATAACACCAAGTGTATAGGGATTTGGTTTCGAAATCGGTGGCTGTTGTAAAATTAATGAAATTTTTCAATTTTAACTTTTTTGAAGAGTTCAGCCAGGAAATCATGGGCACTAGTTCACAGCTCAAGGTCAGTGCTATCCACGAAATGCTAGGTCAAAAAATACTGCCTTATTGTGAATTATTTACAAATTTGTTTTGAAAAATTATAGGATAGGGTAAGTGCCCTGGGCTTAACTCTAGTTTAATAAAAACTCTTTCATTTTTTCGAAGGTCCAACAACGGTTACGCGAAATAAACCTTTTTTTACTGAAAACATTATTTTAATAAACTGGTTAGAATCGGGTAATGCGGATGGAAAGACCCATATCTCTGGACCCGAGAAAGGTATTAGCATAAATTGTAGCATTTTGGAAAGGTAAGAGAGCCAGCTATAATTTGCCATTAATTTTGTTGACCCCCATAATAGGTTCTTTCTGAACTTTTTGGGGGTTTTATAAAAAATCCGGGTCCAAAAAATAATAATTTTTGATAATTTTACTATAACCCATCATGTGACCACTTGTTGGATAGGTATTTTCATAAGCTTTCCAACGATACTATATTGTCTATATGGGGTAATAGGGGCCGTGTCCAGGACAGGTCTTGAACCCGGATTTTCTGGTCAAAAATCTGGGGTCAAGAAAAAAATAGTTTCCCGGAATCAGGTTAAAAATACCTACCTCTGGAAAAAATTTCGAACAAAACAAAGAGTTTTTACTAAACTAGAGTTGTTCCTTAAAAAATAGATTTGTTCGA